CAAAGTGGATCCTTGGCCTTACTTTGCACCTTCGGTTTGGTCACATCTTTCATCTCTACCTTTTCTTCATGTGCTGTATATGGCTGGACAGGGATGCCCTAAGATGCCGATGTGTTGCTCTGTGGCACATTCTGGAGTCTGCCAGGGTCTCACCTCAAATGCTGACAGTGGGGCCTACGTGCCCACATGCAGGCAGTGGTAACACATGGTCAGACCACACATGCCAGGTGAGTAATCAAGAAGACTTACACAGATGTGGCATCATGACAAGTTTCAGTTTCCCCAGTTGAAAGTTCAGGTGCTGCTCAGTTGAAGAGCAGACCTCTGACAAGCCCAGCTCAGGACAGCACCTGTGTGTTCACATTTTCTGCCCCAAGGCCATGCAGTCAGATACAGCACAGGTCTCATTCTTCTCTTATCCTCACAGCTGGTAGGAGACCCCGTTTCAGTTGGGCACCCAGCTTCCCTGGTGGAAGAGAAGGGAGCCAAACTTCCATGTTACTGGGAACAACAGACACCTGCAAAATGGAAATAAGGTGCTGTTTTTGAGACATCTCTTAGCCCATCCCATCAAAAGCCTGCTCCAGAAAAACAGACTCAACTGCTTCCCTTGGCAAATGGGAGCCTTCCCCTGGGCCCATGAGAGGCCTCAGACTGACCACCCCACTTCCAAAAGGACCTTCCTGGCAGCTGCACCCAGGCCAGAGCTGACCTCCCAAAAAAGCTTGTCCTCCAATACCTAGGTGTCACTGCATCCCCAAGATGCTTCCCTCTATCTGGTCTGAATTTCTTATCTCCATTCATCCACCCTCCCCCTGGTCTTTCCTTGGAATTCCCAAATCTTTCTGTGGGAAAGCATTGCCGTCTTAAACAATACAAATTGTTTTAACTCCAATAGGCTTGGCCTTAAATTATACAAGGAAGTTGGCAGAAGGCCAGAAAGGAACTCAAGGAAGCTGGAAACAGGTCAGGGACAGAGGACCTAACACAGCTGGTCTCCCTGGATAGATGGAGGTGGGTGAGGGTGAGAGGTTTGGGGGGTTGGGGAGACTGCTAGGAGAAGACCATTGCCAACTAAAAATTGTCACTTGCTATCTGCCTCTACAAGGATTAAATCACTAGCCACTGCAGTTGCTGACCTTCAACACACCCTGAAAGGAGTTCAGGGTGGAGATCAGGAATGAGGCACTCTGTGCTCTGGGAGAAACTGGCAGAACGGGCCTTCAGATAGTTAGATATCTTCAGGAGAAGATTTTATGAGCCCAAATTCTTCCATCTCCTCATGTCTAGAAAAGAACTAAAATCACTAAAGTGACATTTGCTTTTCGTGACTAACAGCAAACTTCTGCCAAAATGTGTGCTTGCCAAAAGCACATGTATACTGACCTCCCCCACTACTTCTTTGGAGCAGTTCCTCAGAGTTCTCTGAGATGCTGTCTCCTGGGCTATAGTCCTCATTTTGCCCCAAATAAAACTTGACTCACAGCTCTCACATTGTACCTTTTTTTTCAGTCGACACCATCTATGGGCAGAATTACTCAGGCTCATCAGAGGTGTCATCAGCATCCAACAGGGCTTTGGGCTCAAGAAACAAGGTTCAACACCAAGGAGAGAGATGTTCAAGGACTAAGCAGAGGGAAGGGTCCAGGGTAAGGTCCTGGTTAGGCAGGATCAATATCAGTCGTGTTCTCCTTGAACACTTGAATTTCTCCTTGAATTTCCAAATCCATAATTCAGGTTTCTAATTTTTTTAACTGTTTTGACTCAAGTTTACTTAGCAATCAAGAACAAAATGAAGGACCTTATAGCATCTGTAATATTGTGGTTTATAAGAAATATATTGTTAAAAGATAAACTGAGGTATGTTAAAATTTTTGAGCTTATTTGAGCAAAAATTAATTTGAATCAGGCAGCATCCAATCTAGCAGATAGAGAGGAGCTCCAAGGATCTGTACAAAATGGAAGACGTTTATTTACAGAAGGGGGTGGGAAAAGGAAGTTACTAGCAAAGAGTGGATTGTGTGGCAAGGTCACCTTCCTTTAGGGGATAGCAGGGGTCTAACAGGCAGATTACCTTACTACTACTGACCAGGTAATTCCAGACTGACTGGCTTAAGAGTCCCCCCCCCAGGAAAGGTTGAAATTGTAATTAATTTAGGTACTAAGTCTCAATTTGGTGACATGGGCTTAGTACAGGTGACTCCATTTGGGGCCTGCTGCCTCTTCTGTATCAATATATTTGGTCATATTCTGGTCATGCAGATGACCAAATCCATTTCTCATATATATTTGGTCTTCATCCATGGTTCCTGGTTCACCAAACCATTGGAATTGCCTAAGGAATTAGAACAATAGGATTAGAACAATTTTGTCATAATACTAGTTCTCGTTCCTCAGTTCCTGAAATCACTTCAAAGCCATAAAGGTGAAATGGGTGTCTTGTTATTAATGACAAGCCTCTTTCCACAACTACTGGATTTATGTTAATGTAGTGCCTTTTGGAAAGCACCTAAGAATGGGGGCTGGCTGCCAGGGGAACAAACTTTGAATTGAGGTTTGGAACTTTCAGTCCCAGCCCCTAACTTCTGGGGAAGGGAGGGGTCTGGAGGTTGAATCAATTACCAAATGCCAGTGATTTAATAAACCTTCCCTATGTAATGAATTCTCCATAAAAACCCCAAAGGATGGGTTTGGAGCTTCCTTGTTGGTGAACATGTGGAGATTTAAAGAGCGTGGTGCACTCAGAGAGGGCATGAAAGCCCTGC